ACTGTCGCTGTAACTTGCTGAGCAGGATCCCAGCAGATGACAACAGAGGCTGGACGTGCTCACTGTGTTTGAAGAAATGTTACACGAGTAGGTTGGTGAGAGCCAAGGGATAATGCCAAGTAATTAAGACTCTAGTCTGTAGACAGAGGCAGGTGAGAAGGTTCTTTCAATTATAATTTAATGTGAAACTGTCGCCAGAAGAGACTGGTCCATGGAGAAGGACTCTCTAGGACTCATCATGCTTGGCGAGGTAAGTGTTGTTGTTATGTGCCATCAAATAAAAACTGACCCTCCGAGGGGTTTTCAGAGGCTGTAAATCACAAGGGAGGTGAAAGCCTAACTTTCTCCCAAGGAGCAGCTGGTGGATTTGAACCTTGTGCCTTTGGGATGGCAGCACAGCTTCCTAACACTTGGCCACCAGAGCTCCCTTGGAAAAGTAGATGGTCAGTGAAAAAGGAGAGAACTCTCATCGGGATGGACTATGGACTTGACACCACAGTTCTAACAGTGAACACGACACAGTGATGGTTGAGAGGAGGCCATGGGGTCATCAAACGACACAGTAATGGTCATGTGGAGGCCACAGGGTCACCAAACACAATAGCTGTGAGTGGGTCACGGGTCATCAAAAGACACAGTAATGGTCATGTGGAGGCTACGTGGTCATCAAACAACACAGTAATGGTCGTGTGGAGACCACGGTCATCAGACGACACAGTAAGGTCATGTGTAGGCCACGGGGTCATCAGACGACACAGTAAGGTCGTGTGGAGGCCACGGGGTCATCAGATGACACAGTAAGGTCTTGTGGAGGCCATGGGGTCATCAGACGACACAGTAAGGTCGTGAGGAGGCCACGGTCATCAGACGACACAGTACTGGTCGTGTGGAGGCCACGGGGTCATCAGACGACACAGTAATGGTCATGAGGAGGCCATGGGGGCTGTGGGCATCTCATTCTGTTGTATGTGAACTGGAGGAGACTCAGCAGCACTGATCACCCCCGATATTTACACACGCACGCACAGAGAGAGAGAAAACCAGAAATACTGCGCTGGAGACCTATGGAGTCCTGACGCGCGCTCACCCTGAGGGTTGCAAAGCAGGGTCACACGGCTGTGACCTTTTGGAAGCAGGTCTCCAGACTTGTCGTCTGAGATCAAACCACCAGTCTTTGAGTTAACAGCTGAGCCTTTAACCATTTGTACCACTCAGGGATTGTTTTCATATCATAAAGCACACCCTCCAATCAGGATTGGAATTTGCTACATTTCCCCCCAAATCTTGTGTTTTCTTTTAAGAAATAAAGTAACATGCAGATGTGGATGAAGTGGGCTTTACCTATTATTCCAATAACCACTCTTGCCTGAATGGCCACTCTCTTGGATAGTGCTTAGATCCTTTCAACCTTGCTTTATCACTTTATACAGATACAACCATGAGCAATACTTGGCATGACTCGGTGTTTACACACACATATACACAAACTCAGCAGCTCTCACATGGACAGTTCTGTGCTCACACTAGTCACGTTATGTCACGGCTCTGTAGCGCTCTTCCCAGATTGTTCCATCGTCAGATGGTGTACTGTGTACTGTCGAAAGTTACGAAGTCAGCTGGTGTGATTTTACCACTCAATTTTTGCTCAATATTTTCATTTATCCATGTTAATAAATGTAGACCACCCATCCCACTCTAAAAAATTTCCATGAAATTCCTGCTCCATCTTTTGAGGGGAAAAGCTCAAAGACAGATAGATACGCACATGCATGCAGACATACTTACAATAAACTCATCTTCAGATTGGCAATACTGCTGGCTGTGGCAAATCCTGCATCGTTGAGGGATTCCCATTTCAGGATTAAATTATGCCAATCAGCTGCATTGTCCTTAATCTTCCTGGCACTGACAGATAAGACGGGTTTCCTGGGAGTCACAACTCCAAGTGTCTTTTCTGATACAGAGAAGAAACATAATTATTATAAAACGTTAGGATCACAGCTGGCTTTGAGCATTATGCTCTTTTAGGTTCTATATGAGATTAAATTGACAGCAGCAACTTGAACTGATAGGAAGCTTAGGAGGGAGCGAGTGTATGTTAATGGAAGAAAATAGGTTGGAACAGGAAGGTACGGTTGGTTGCATGATTCAAAGAATGTGATCTATATCACTAAACTGTACATGTAGAAGCTATTGACATTTTGCTGTGTATCTATTCTCAACAACAAAAAGCTAATTATATATACTACATCTATGTATTACATATGAAGCGTATCTGTAAAGAGCAGAGTTGTTCCTATGTGCTATCAAGTCAGAACCAACTCAGAGTGGGCCCTCCAGTGGGTTTTCAGAGGCGATAAGTCATATAAATCACAGGAGATTGTCCTGTTGTGTTTTTTTCCCTCTGTAGAGCAACTGGTGGTTTTAAATCACCTCCCTCCATTCCACAAGGGGATTGGACAGTCTTAACAATCTGTAAGTAGAATGACTAACTGCAATATTTGACCTTCTTTGTCCCTGTGAAAAAGAAAGAGTAAGAGAATGTGGGATGCACTTTGAGACCTCCCTGCCACCACCAGTGAAGAAACCTCATCACCAGGAAAAAAGTGGCCATGCCAAAGTAGGAACCTGACATGAGACAGGACCTTTGGGCTACTACACCATTTGACCTGGAGTTAAGAGCCTCTGCTGTCTGTTGGACAATTTGGCATTGTAACCCTGGCCTAAAGCCCTGATGCTCAAGGTAAAGCATCATTTTGGAATTGTCCTGGCTGTATTCTGCTAACCTGGATTATATCTTTCTTACTTTCCTAAAAAAAAAAATTTTTTTTAAAAAATCACCTCCCTCTGGGCTGGCAAAATAATTCCTGACCTCTGGGACACAGTTGTTGTTAAGTGCTGTCAAGCCAAGTATTACTATTACTCACAGCGACCCTACAAGCAGCCAACCTGAAACCTGCCCTATCCTGTGCCATCCTCATCCTCTGACACACTAGGTGTAAACTGAGATCCTGACACAGCTGAATGTCTGTAACTTTCAACAGTAAAACTACCTGATGATGAAACAATATGGAGCGAGACTCCAGGATTGGTGACATAATGTAAAGAGCGTAATCAATGTCATGGAACCACACAGGCAGGAAGTGCACGTGTAAAAACTGTTGAATGTGCACAGATTCGGCTTTGTATGCATATGTTTTTATCAAAATTTTTAAAATAAGAGGGAATCAGGAAAAGAAAAACCAATAAAATCCCAACCATGAACTATATGAACTATACAAATGTGGTAGAATCTAAGAAGTCTACATAAATGCAGTTTGTTTTTTAAATTTGTTTGTTTTGTGTGTATGAGTGTGTGTGTGTGTGTGTGTGTGTGTGTGTGTACAGTCAAATTGGATCTAACTGGTACAGGAGGAGATTGCCCCTTATTCTTCAGCAGAGCATCTGGTGGATTTGAACCATATACCTCTCTGGGATTGCAGTGCAACGTCTTGCCACTAAGCCACCAGAGCGCCAAATGTTTTTAATATATATGTTACCACTGGGCCAACTGGCAGCACTATGACAGATGGAGAAGAGCTTGAGGTTGTTAACAATTACAGTTTGCTCAGCTCCACAATTAACACTTTCGGCACTAGCAGTCAGGAAATTAAAAGATGAACTGCCCTGGGAAAAATCTGCTGTCAAAAACCTCTCTAGAGTACTAAAAGGCAACAATGTCAGCCTAGAGACTAATATGCACCTAATCTAGGCCATGGTCTTCACAATTACTCGTTATGCATCAGAAAGTTGGACAATGACTAAGGATGACAGAAGAAGAATTGATGCCTTTAAATTGTGGTGCTATTCAAATCCTACTACACTGCCGTGGTGGTTAAGACAGCATGGTACAGGTACAATGACAGACACATAGATCAACGGAAAAGAATTGAGAACCCAGAAATCAGCCCATTTACATATGGTCAACTGATTTTTGACAAGGAAATGAAACCAGTTAAGTGGGGAAACGACAGCATTTTTTAACAAATGGTGCTGGCAAAGTTGGAAAAATATCTGCAGAAGACTCAAGCAAGATCCACACCTCACTCCATATACAAAAAACAACTCAAGATGGATCATGGATCTAGGACTAAAACCAAGGACTATAAACTTCATTAAAGAAAAGCTTGGAAGAATTCTAGTAGTCCTAATCCAGAACATAAACAGTCTTCCAAGTATCCTGAAAAATCTACAACCAGGAGAAGATAAAATAGATGAATGGGACCTTCTA